GCCATGGGCAGTGACATCTTTCACTGACCAGATTGATTTGAGCTCCATCCAACCTGGCCTCAAACACTTGCAGGAACAGAGCATCCACAACTTCTCTGAGCAACCTGTTTCAGCACCTCAACAGCCTCATGATAAAGAGTTTTTCCTAATATCTCATCTAAACCTACTCTCATGTGTTGGTCTGGTAATTTCCAGCTACTTCTGGATTATTCTTTTGCTTCTTGCTCTCACTTGTAGCTGCCAGATCCTACTCACTAGAGTATGCCCCATGTCTAGTTGGGCTGACCTTCCCATGACCACCATGGAAGATCACAGCAAGTGTCCTGTGACGGCTACTTGGGCTAGCCAGGAGGGAACAGACTAATGGCCAAGGATACTAGAGGTGGCAGCAATAATTTATTTTTTATGTGGGCTCTTATGAAATGGGTGTTGAACTCTGCTGTCACTGTGGAAATTATGAATAATAATCAGGTAAAAGTAACATATTGCATCATTCACAGAAGAGGTGTGAGGCAGTTCCTTTGAACTTCCAACACTAGGTCAGCTGTTCTTCCCCTCTGGGAATGTTGTTTCAACATTTGAGGTTAAATGCCTTATTTGTAAACAAGTGGAAGGGAAAACAATTGGGGTTTTTTTTTGTAAGGGAAAAAATAGTTTTCCTTCTTTGATTCATTGCATTTTGTAAATGCAATGCTCTTTGCAATGCTTTTACATTAGCATTTAGCAGTTATGTGGAAGTACAGAGAAGATGATGGAGGGGTATATTTCAGCTAGTGAATTTATTCTGTTGGCTGTCCTGAAAAGACAAGCACGTTAAAAAGCCATTGAGTTACTCTTACACAAATATAACAACATAGCTGAGAACTACAGAAAATAACTGTGTGACCCAAGGTAGGTGGGCATGATTATGATAAAAGCCAGCTATATACAACTTGTGGATCTCACTGACTTTTCACCAGTCTTTCACAATAAATTTGCTCTGATTTGAGCTCTCATGGATCTAGACATATTCTATGATAAGTTGCATAAATGTTCATCCTGCAGTTGTTCTGTCCATGCAGTGTTACATTTCTCAAGAGTAGAAAAGGGAAGAGACAGTTTGATGCAACATCTTAGCCAGAAAACATGAAAACATGCAATAACATATATATGAGGTATACAGAGGTGTGCTTTTGTTGTTGGGTTTGGGTAATTTTCTGCTTCTCTATGATAGTGTCTTGGTTTGACAAGATTTGTCCGTGAAGGAGGGCAAAAGCCTCCTGTGCAATGGAGAAGGTAAACCCCCTCCCTCCGAATTACCAGGATTTTTAAATTAAAAGGCTCTCAGGCAAAGACATGGGAATGGGAGTAACAATTCTTTACTAGGAGAAAACTAGATAACAATTTAAAAAGGCAAATGCAATTGGTACAAACAAAACTAGTGATAAAGTCCACAACCTGAGGATTCGGGGTGTTGGTAGCAGTCTGGTTGAAATGATAGCTGCTCCTCTTGCAGTGGCTGATAATTGCAGCTGAAGTGGTGATCTTTAGAAGGGTATAGTTTTCTCTGAAGATCTGGTGGCAGCTGGGCCGGTCATCCTCTGTGCCGGGGCCGCCTCCGAGCTCCGCCGCCGCCGCCTCACCGCGCTCCGGCCGCTTCTCTCAGGAGTCCCACTGAAGGAGCTGCTTCTCTGGCAATCCTGCAAAGAGAGAGCTGCTCTGTCCCCTAAAAGGTACCCCTTTTATCCAATAAAAGAGTGCTTGGCTTCCCCCTCTGGGTGGAGCATCTCACAATGAGATGGTGTTACAGTTACCAGACCTGCAGTGAGTCAGTCAATGGCCCATTAACAAACCATTACCTCTTCGGAGCAAACCATTGTTCTTGGAAGAGATAACAAACCTGCCCAAGCTCCAACAGATGGCAAATAGAATACAAGCTTATCTTACAAACCAGGACAGATAGACATGACTGCTTCTGATTTTTTGTTTACTAAAAATTTTCTGAACTTTTTGCAGGAAAATAGTGAAGGTTTCCTGAGTAAAATGCACCCTAGAGTCAAATACCACAGCATCTTGGCTGATTTCTGTGGCACCAGAAGCACATACTGCTGTTCCCCATTCATCACACCTTTTTTTTGAGCAGTCACCCTGAAAGGCAGTGCTTCACCTCAGGGAGGAGATGATGTTCAGGATATATAGAAACATCTCTGTGTAGGAAGAGTGGAAGGTACAGGAAGGAATCCATTTTCTTCTAGGCTGGGGTTAAGAAAAAGCTCAGGTAAATCTTTCTCTGTTCTGCACAGAGTTTGTTGGCCCTGTGTAAAATCAGGAGGGGACAAAAGCAATGGTGGAAGTTTCAGTCTGAGTTTGATTCTTCTGCCACACAGGAAAAAAGTATGCTGGCCTTCAGCTCTCTCAAGACTTTAAGCCAGTACCAAAATGTTTTTATCAATACAGAGAAAAGTTACCAGTCTGTCATAGCCCCAAGTACTCCAGCAGCTTGACTGAAAGTGTGACTTTCTAGGCTATCATAAACAGCTGCTAAAGCTTGATTCTCGTCTTGCTTTTTATAGAATGAGCATATATCTGCTACGTCTCAACATGTATTTATGAAAGCCTTAATGCCATAGCAGCTGTTCACCGCTGTGGGTTCATGTTTGAACTCTTCACCTCCCACTGCAGTCTCCAAGGAGTTGCAGATTCTCATCATTCCCTCTGAAGCGATACGTGGAATAAATAAATAGACTCCACAACTCGATGTAGTTATGAAGTGGGTATGTATGACAGCGCCCGGTACAAGTGAGATAGCTCTCTGAAATCTTGTGCCCCGAGTTGGAGTTTGTCCTGCAATTTTATTCACAAAGGTGTTCCATATGCAATACATTACACAACTTTTCTATGCATATTCAACCCCTGGCCCCACCTGTCTTCACCTCTCATGCTAAATAGGTCCACGCCCTTCTGGGCATGTGTGGTTTGCTGTGGGGATCTCTGGTGGTCTTTTGAGGCTGAAACCATAGTCTTCCTCTGCATTGAACTTTTGAACTCTTCTCCTCTGCGCATGCGCTTTTGGTCTTCTGCTCTGTTATCTAGATAAGTCCCTCATCCTTGACAGAGGGGCCTCCTTATCTGAGTTCTTTGCATTCCTGGTCTTCTCTGGTATTTGTCTTTTTGCAAGAAGCTTTAAAGATTTTTTTTTTTTCCTTCTCTCTTTCCTATGTCTTTTGCGCCATGGCAGAGGTTTCTTAAAATTCAACTCATGATTCTACAAACATGATACATTCATTTTTGATACATTCATTTTGTTAACTCAAGTGATCTCTGGAAGATCTCTTATTTCACCTCTCAGGAATTACTGGAACTGGAATCCCAAACAGGATTACAGTTTGAAGCATGTCATTGGTTTTCCTGGTGAAGCTGCAATTAGGACTAAGAAGAAAAGGGCTGTGTGTGATTCATGTGAAAAGTAAGTTAAGAGTCTTACAGTAAAGAGGGGGATAGAGAAGGGAGGATGTTACATCAATTCACTTTGAGAGTCCTAAAGTGAAATTAAAACATCAATATCTAACTTTTGTAAACTGACCAACTGGGAAAGTTGTAATTTCGGGTTAGAGTGGATTAAAGAAGAAAACAGAAACGGAACTTGAGTTTCTTCTTTCTTCCTCACCTTTTCTCTGCTTGGCTTGTCTTCCTTTTCTCCCTGTGCCAGAATCAAGTATTTCTGAGAGGTAATTTCTGAAGACCTTACCTCCTACCCTGATGCTCAGGCTCTGCTGAGTGGTGCTTACATCTGAGTGGATATGGAAATAAGCACATGTGTTGCACTTTCCTCCCACCAAAAAAAAAAAAAAAAAGGAAAAAAAAAAAAGTAATTAAACGCCACAACTCCCTGTTATAAATTGAGGCGAATAATTTGATTCAGCCTTTTAAGATCAATTAATAATTTTATTAATTACAGCAAGCGATAGCAAGCAAAACAGCGCTAGGTTCAGCCCGGAGCCTGGCTCCGCCAAAAGCTGACAACCTTTCTTCTCTTCAGTCCCTTTTTATCCAGCACAAGTGGGGGTGATGGGTCTCCTTCCACTGCGGTTATCAGTTCCAGCCAGTCCTGCAAGATCTTTCACAATCTTTGTTTGCGGTTACCAGCCTTGCCCAAGCTTGCAAATTCCATGCCCCGACCCCCTCCCCACCCTTTTATCCTAATTTCATACTTTTGATGAACAAACAATCAATACAGCTTTTCACACTCCCCAGTTCTGGTTTGCAGCGTAATTTGAATTTCTAGGACAAACACAGCTTCCGGGCGTCAGCGACTGGGAGAAGGGCACTGGGGGAAATACAGTTCCTCTCCCCGCCACAGCCGTGCCATACCGGCTGGCAGTCGCTAGCTGCTTGGGGTGTCCTCCCCTCCATTTTTCGCTTTAAACTTTTCCTATTTCACCAATATATCTCTAAATGGAAAACCATAACGGTGGGCAGTGCTTGGACTGCTTCACACTTTCCAGACCCGGGCCAGGTGCCGCACCGCATCCTGCTCTGCGGGGCCGTGGCACAGAGCGGTTTGTTTGGCTCGGCTGCCCGGTCTCCAGGCCCCGTGTGTTTGCCCCGGCCCCGTTCGCCCTTGGGGCGAGCGCGGTTGCGGTTCCCCCGCTCCCCGCTAACGTAACGGGCTCAGCGGCTTTGTGGCGACACTTCAGCAGCTCTGCCCGAGCCCAGGCTCGCACACACGCGGAGCGGCTCCGCTCCCCGGCAGGTCCCGGCTGCCCGGCCCGGGGCCTTGGTGATGCCCGGGGGCCGCCCGGTGCAGCCGCGGGGCCCGCGCTCCGACCGCCACGACCGGGGGGCGCTCCAGGAGGCGAACTTGCCCCCGCAGAGCGCTCCCGACCGCTCCGGCGGCCGGCGGGGGCCCGGCAGCTCTGCACCCGCGGGCCGCGGGGCGGGCCGGGCCAGCGGGCGTCACCGCGGGGCCGAGGCTGCCGCCGGCAGGGACCCGCCGGGAGCAGCGAGGGCGGGCGGCCGGGGCGGAGCGGCGGGCGGCATGGGGGCCGGGGCGCTGGCCGTACGCGTGAGTAGGGGCCGGCGGCGGGACGGGCACGGGAGCGGGGCGGCGCTGCCGGTAGAGCGGGGCCGGCGGATGGCGGCGGGATCAGCCTCCTCCGCCTCCTCCTCCTGCCGGCCTCCGCCGGGGACCCTCGCGGGGCCGGGGAGAGGGAGGCCGGCCCGGGCCCGGCGCCTTCTCGTCCCGAGTGCTCTCCATCTGTTCCCTCCTTCTCTCTTTTTTTTTTTCTCCTTCCCCCCCGCTCGGCAGCTGCCGCTCCTTTGGGAAAGGCAAACACTCGGAAAGGCGATTCCAGGCTGTTTTCTTTTAGTTTCCCCCTCCCTTTTTAAATTTTATTATTTTTTTTAACCCAGACAACAACTGCCCTGCCGCGTTCCTTGCGTTTAAAGTTGTTGGATGTGCTGTAAAAGTGTGTCCCTGTGGCATATAAATAGCTTTTTTCCAAGTGTCTGGGCGGAACCTTTTGGCGGCATCGTGCAGGGATGATTAATTGCTTTCCCAGTCTCGGAAATCAGCAACAGTGGCATTAATACTCAGACGCGTTTTCCCTGGGTAAAGTCAGATCTTCCATCTATAAAGCAACATAACACTGAACTCTTTGTTTCAGAGGTGTTTTGAGGGGATGGCTTTATTTTTATTTTGGTTGCATGTGTATTTTGGATAACCACATAATTTTTTTGTTCCTAGTTAGCACAGCCTCTTCAGATCCTGAAGCAAGCTCAAAATTTTCCTCTTGTTTCTGTGGACATGGCAAATGTCTGTCCGTTCTCATGTGGATTTAAATAGTGAGTTTCCCCAAGTAAATCCAACTCTGTGACTCAGGTTTTCAAATGTTGAAACAGGCTGGAAACCTGTAACTGAGCAAGATTGTGAGGCTAGTTGAGGGCCTTAATTGGAAAATCTCCCTAAATATCACAGCTGCTCAGAAACTGCTCAAAGAATCTTTGCTGTCTTCTAGTCCTAGTCTAGTCTACATGATTTTTACCTTGTCATGTGTCTGCCTGGAATAAATGTTGTTTATTATTCATTTAATCTTAAATGGGAACATGTCTTTTTAAAAGAGATTTGGTATTTTAGTTCAAACAGTGGTGCATTGTAAATATTTATAAAGAGTTTACAATAATGCAATATTGTGGTTCTGTTTCACAAATAATAAAACATACTTGTGATGTTTATATAAGCAACATCTTCTATAAATATCACACGAGTGTTGTGTAGGACCTGGGACCGTAGAGCACACACATGCTTCAAATAACTGTTTAGTGGGAAAAGCACAACTGAGTGCACTGCCAGATAATTTTATATCTGAAAGGACAGTCACGCTTAATAGCAACATAGCAGATGTTTATGTTGCTCACAGACTACAATAAAAATATTGTGCCTCAAGTGAAGAGATTTTAAAGGCCTGTTTAAAATAAAATATCTATGCTGTGATAAAATCTGTCAACACAGTGACGTGTCAAGATTTAGGCAAGAGTCTGAGCACTTTTTTATGTTAGTATACAGTATTCTCCATATGTACAGTTTCTACTACCAATTTGTCAATGCAACACAGTACACAGTAGGAATAAGTTTATTTTAAGCAACATGCCAGTGATGGGCTTCTTAAAGAAAGAGATTGAACTCTGTGGTAGCAGTGGGTCCCATTTCCTGCAGTGTGATTGCAACAGTGTGATGGGTGATGCTGCTGTTCTGCCTTGAACTGTCTTCCCAAATGTGCAATTCTGTAGGCTGATTAAGATTTCTGCCTATTATCAGTCCTATAAATTAATAATATATTCTTTTATTCCGCTGGGTTTTATTAACTATCCTCCCATGGTTTCTTTGTCACTGCAACTCCAAAGTTGTGAGAATGTTGTGCCTCCAGAAGAACCTATGGGATCAAAAGTTTATTGTGCAGTGGGTTTTCCACCCCCCTTGTTATGTGTGATTAGATTACATAGTCCCTTTCTAACCTTAAAACCTCAGTAATTAAATTTCAGACTTAGCAGATACTAAGCATAACAGAAAATAATGATCCATCTCACCTGACAGTGGCCAAAATGAATCCCTAGGAAACAGTATTTGGAAGAAGAGTGTAGTGTGTGTGCCTCCTCCAGAGTACTGCCCTGCCAAGCATCCTGGGTGGGATTGTTTGTGTTTGTCCAGTTACTTTTATAACCCATGTGAGTTTCATGAGTTGACAACTGCAGTCTCCTGCTTGCTTACTCCTAGTTACTTGTTATTCTAGTAGCAAGCTTGTCTGCAAGTCTTTCTCCCTAACATACAGACTACCTACATTCTTGTTCCTCTTCTAGTGTTTTCTTCTGTTCATTTTTACTTTCCTACTTCACAGAGGTTTTTTTCTGTGGAATAAAATAAAGTGGGGCCAAACCCTTATGCTGGAGCATAAAAGCCAGTTTTGATGGATGTGCTTGTGTTTTGACCACACAACCTTCTGCAGCAAATGTGAATAATGCCTGTTTTCTTTCCCTTTGCTCCTTAAGCAAAACAAGTCGGCGGCGAGATTGAAGGAGGACATGAAAAAGATAGTTGTGTCTCCACTGAACAAGCAGAGGGACACAAGCTGTCCAAAGGTGTTTGGTGTGAGTCTTCTGGAGCTCCAGAAGCAGGGATTGAGCAAAAATGGAATCCCGATAGTTGTGTGGAATATAGTGGAATACCTCACCCAGCATGGTAAGCTTAGTGGAGTCGCTTCTCCTTAGCAGCACTTTTTATGTAAGACTCTTCAAAGGGAAGAACGTAGTTTTTTTGTGACAAAAACCACAGACAAAGAATGTTACTGTATGTGGTTTGCTTCTTTTTTATTTCTGCCTTGATGCTGAACTTACTTTTTAATATGTTTATAAAGGTGAACTACATACAGCATTAGGTAACAGCACACTCATTAACAAGCTGTTTAGTTTATAAATGGAATGTATTCCATTTGTGAAGGTTTGTGTCATCTTCCAGTTGCAAAACATTTGTCTTTAACACTTTATAGAGATAGACACAGGCACACATACACACACACACACACACAACCCATTAGAGAATATTACTGGAAAGGAATACAAGTTCTTACAGGTTTTCAGATATATTCCAGTTATTATTAATCCCCTCAAGGAAGTAGGTGTTCAGTTCTTTGCTTCTCCTTGCATTCATTTAATGGGATTTTGTTCCTGTTGTTGAGATATATTTTGTCACAGAAACTTAGAGCACTACTGGTGCACAGATGTCTTTCTTGTAGGGCATTTGGTCAGCAATGGAAAAGGTTTTGTGGTGGTAATGTCATCTTCTAAGGATCTGCATCTGGTTTTACCCTGAGGTTTTCTGCTAGCTATTCAATAATGATAATCCAGCTGTAGAGGCTTAGATTCTATGACTTAGATTCTATCTTGGTAGATCCTCAGAAGCTCATAGATGCAAATATGGCTTGAAAATTAGCTTGGCTTGAGGTAGAGTGCAAATTTGAAACATAGTTCTACCTTTACTCGGCAGCGTCTTGCTTGATCTACTTCAACCTGTATAAAAGTGGCTTGCTAGGACACTGGAAGAGAAAGAATGGAAAAAGCTTTCCATCATTTAGAGTTTAATCAAAACCAGAAACTGACAGACACTCTTGACTGGAAGTTGTGGTCTGTGCTCTGTGTTCCATAAGAAGATTGGAATCCCACACAACTATGTCCCAGATATGGACTAAACAAGCCAAGTTTTCTACTCTGAAGCAGGATTAGTTGGGCTTCTGAATGTCAAGTTGATTATCTGGCCCCGATAAAGACCATTCTTTTTCTCAAAAATGCAAGCAAGTTCTCAAAGATACCCTCTCATATGGAGAATTGTTGAAATGGGTGTCCCATGTCTGTGTGAGGCTTGTTTTGTGAATTAATGGCAAAATTAACTGTGAAGGCATTTTTAACAAAGGCCCAGACACCCAGGCTGAGCTGACTGTTGGGCAGCTATATCCTTAAACTAAGTTAGCATTAAGCTGCCTATTTCCAAATTTAGAAATGAAGCCAAATTTCCCTGTGGTGTATTTAGTAGTTTCTAATTACTGTTTTCAGGGTGTTCTAGCCACTCTTTATTTCCATAAATGAGTGAGAGAGGGGGAAGGAAGTTTGATCTGTGTGGAGGCTGTGGCCTTTGCTCACCTAGTATTGCAAAAACAAAAATCTTTATTGAGATGAGGTGTTTTCTGCCCTCGAGATGGCAGTACAGCATCTTACATGAGAATACATTTTGTTGTGACTGCAGGAATACAAACTCTAGCACCAGTATCTCATATTAGTCAAGTAAAATGTTTTGAGTGGTTGTCCATTTTTTTCCCTTGCTAGAGCAGTTTGTCTTCTAGTCCAATAAAGGAGATAATTTTTCTTTACAAACTCTGTTGCCTCAGATTTTATTTCTTGGACTGGAAGCATTCTGTCAGATTGCAGTTCCTTGATGTCTAGTCTGAAGTGATGAAAACAATACACATTCAATCCTCTTCGTGTTATGCTTCTGAGGAAGAACAAACAGGTCTATAGACACAGTATTAGAAAGGCAGAATTTTTGCAGTGAAAGTGTTCTAGAGAAAAAATAATTTACAGAAGTCAGTTTTAGGTTCTTCCCAGAAGGTTTTGAGTCTTAACAAATAGAAAGCCTAGAAAGTGTTGTTTAATTTAGTATGATTAGTCTGGCTTCCTCTGTTGAAGCCTCCTTTTTTGTGCATCTCCTTTATGAGCCTGTAGTGATCTAAACCATTTATTTTTCATTGTAAAATACTTTGTGCTTTGTGCTGTCCATGATACATTATTTGCTTATTGAGATTTCCTACTATTTACTATTGAGTTACTGCTGCACTCAGCATGTATTCAGATGTTTTTACCTCATGATGGTCACAGGTAAGAACGTGTTGCTCTGGAACATGAAGCTGGAAGTAATCCAAATGTGTGAGTATGGCAGTCCTGCTCAAAGTAATGGGCTACTTGCAAAAATGAAACAACTGAAGGTTTTTGTAGAGTCCTTTTCTGTTGAAATATGCCAATGGAAAGTGTCTGTCTCAGTTGATTTCTCATGATGTGAGACAGCTCAGTGGCATTGCAGTATTTTTGGTTCTCAAAAGAGTATTCCAGACCTCAAGATGTTGTCATTAGTATTTGTTATTTATCATAATCTAACTACCTGACTAGAGGGGGTTTCTGGGGACAGAGTAGTATTTTTTTTTATATCGTGGTGTATTAATTGCCCTAGTTTGTATTACTACATGTGTGTTATTCAAACTAGAATATCTGTTTCATCATGTCACTGGGATGTGGTCGTTCAGCTCAGTCTTAATATATAATTACAGGTATGACACAGGAAGGTCTCTTCAGAGTGAATGGCAGCATGAAAATGGTGGAGCAGCTGCGTCTGCAGTACGAGCGTGGGGAAGAGGTGGAACTCGTGAAAGATGGTGATGTGTACTCAGCAGCCAGCCTGCTGAAACTGTTTTTGAGAGAGTTGCCAGATGGAATTATCACATCTGCCTTACATCCCAGGTTCATTCAGCTTTACCAGGGTAAGTGAGAGGTAAAGTCTCCGTCCTTCAATGCACTTTCTTTCTGGGTAGCTGGTTTCTTAGTTTACTTACTTTGTTCCTTATTTCCTTTGGCTTCAGCTCCTACCTACTCCCAGACATGCAGTTCTGTTACAATAGGCAGAAAAATGTTTCTGATGTATTCAGTAAACTCTGGATTTTCTAATCCAATTAGGTTGAATAGAAAGTGAAATGATCAGCTGGTTTTCTTCAGGTATGCTTGTAGAAAATAATTGCAGTGTCTTTAGGACATAGATTTACTTCTGTCTGCTAGGGTGTTTTCTGACAGTTTCATTGTAATGGACGCTGAGAACTGAGAACTTCATCTGCTTTTAAGATTGGGCCAAAAGCATACACTGCCAAAGTTTCTGCTTCTCACTAAGTAATGTGATTGTCCAAAAAAAAAAAAAAAAAAAAAAAAGAACCAGTTTGCAAGTAACAGTAGACTTTATGTTTTATTCCCTGTCATAGCACACAACCTGGAAGATTTCTTTTTTTCTTTTATTCACACCCGTCATCCACCTTCAAGTGGTGGATCAGCCATAGGAAAGACCACCACTTCTGCTGTGGAAAGTTGAGAAATCATTTTAAAGAGAGTTATGCAAGTTTCAATCTAATTCATCTGTATCTGACAATCTCTGGTGATGGTAGGTGGAATAAGTGGTGATTGGCCCCAGTTCCATGACCATGTGGGTCATTGACAGTTCATCTCTCTTGCTTCAGGCAGTCAGCACTTCTTTATGTTTTCCTAAGAAGCTACAAGATGAGTGGGTAAAGTTACTGGAGAATGAAGAGGAGGAACATGCTCTCTGACATGCATCCCTGGAGGAAGATGGTGTAAAGTTCTCACACACTTGTCTTGAGGTCTCCCATTTTTCTTGCCTTCAGTGAAGAGGAGGTTTAGCCATTTCCAAGAGTAGTGCCATGTATTTTCTTTCTTCCTTTTGTTTTGTGGGCTATAGAAGGTGTTGCTGATGCACTGAAGAAGAGCTTTGTACTTTACCTTGAGTGCAGACATTTCAGCTGTAGGTAGTATGTGGACTGTGTAAAATACCTTCCCTATTTAGTAAAGCTTGTCTGGCACACAAGAATAGGGTTCAGGAAGTGTTGTGTAGGAAGGTGCTATTGTTTTAGAAAGTCCCTTTTTTCTGGTCATTGTTGTGCTTTCTTTGTGGACTTTTAGATTTCACCAGGTCTGACTCATGAGCTGTATTTATGTTCTTTCTCATAAATCACATCTTAAGTGTAAATTAATAATAAATAAATAAGTCACGCCTTTACTGTTCCATATCTCTGCCCCCACAAAGGTCATATTGGTGTATTGTACCAGGAACTGCTGGTGTCCTTTTTGAACAGTGCTTTTGTTGTGTTTGTGGAAAGGTTCATTGGTTCTGTCTCCTACAGGAAGGGCAAAATCCCCCCAGTACTTTCTAGGGAAATGAGATGGATATCGTTACTTAGCAGATTTATTCACCAAACTTTCTTGTTTCCAAATAAAGTTACTAGTATAATCTATGAACCCAGATCTGCAAAAATCCATCCAACTGTGACGTGTCTTCATAGCTAAGTTTGCCTGTATTTCACAATAAGATCAAGATTAGTGCCATTAAAATTTTGATTAGGGAATAAAAAGTCTTACTTGAAAAATGCCAGTTGGCTGTTGTAGCAAGGGGAAGTCTTGTGTAAAGGTTGGAGGAAACTTGAAGGGTTTTTCACACCCCAGAAAATACAGCATAAATGAGCAGTTATGAAAGGCACTGATGATTTTTATTTTTATTTATTTTTATTTTTTATTTATTTTTATTTATTTTTATTTATTTTTATTTATTATAAGCTTAAGTAGTAGGTGGGCATTTGCTTGCAGTTAAATGATCAACCAGCTGTGCAGGATTGCAGGAGTTATCTGTTCACTTATCGAAGTATGTGCAAGGGTATTGCTTGCAAAATGGTACCAGGACACTGCATGCCTGGGTGTTTGTTTTGTAAACTGTGAAGAGAGTAGGTCAAACTGTTTCTGAGTCAACAGGTTATTAAAAAATAACTTTGAATCTGTAGCCTCTTTGAGACATGTCTACAGGGAAGGCAAATACAAGCTCTGTCACAATCTCTGTATTCTTTTGTTGAAGCTTTGCATGGGATATGGGTTTTTAGAATTATGTTAGGTTTCTTTTGGTGTATTTTTAGGGATTGTTATCAGCATTTTTTAAGCCAGCTGAGATCTTGGCCTGAGAAAAACACATAGTTACTTCACTTACTATAAAAATGGTTAGAGAGTGATTCCTCTAGTTAAAAATACCTGGACTGAAAATTACAAATTTTACCTGTAGGTGTAACCCTTTTCAATTCCAGCTATCAGATTTGTTACCAAATCAAAGAAAAATAACCTGCCCTGTTATGAAAGAAAGAAGCTGTCCTGTTAGTGTTCAAGAAGTCCATGCAACTGTTTTGGCATTGCTGTCTGCAGCCTGTGCAGTGTTGTGTGAAACAGAACTTTGCGTGCTGCCCTCAAATCCTGAAGTACTTTTGTTCAAATAAATATTCAGCATAATGCCAAGACTATGCAGTTCCATAACACATCGCGTAGTGTATTGTGGTATGTCCTGGCATTCTGTTTGTGCCCTTGGAGAAGGACAGTGGCAGTGGGAGATAGGAAGGGGCTCCCCCTGTAAATGATGTTGATTGGAGATGTGTGTTGCAAGCGCAGGCCAGGGACACACTGACAGTCCTTAGTGTTGGCTGGTCTCCTCACAGTGCCTGACAAATAAAGGCTGCTCCTTAAGGGGAGTTCTGGGGTGAAAAATGTCCATCACAATCTCTTTTGTGCCTGAGGCTTCACTGCAGAGCAGAACTGTGTGAAATGGGCTGTACTTGGAGAAACCTCAGCCAGAAATCAGCAGCTCCCATACAGCAATCCCTGCCTGAGCTTGTTTATTCCCTCTGGCTTTTCATTCCTTATCTTCTGTATTGTGATCGCTGACTCTTAAGACATCCGTACATACTAGGAACTGTACACACAGCTCTTACCCCTTTCACAGGTCACTTGCTTTCATCAAGACAAAGTGCTACTGTACTGTAAATTTTGTTTTTGTTGCTGTTTCATTCCCTCCTCCAGTGGAGGTACAGTGAAATATGGACTCTGTCTTCCTTTCTTACTCAACCTAACTAAGTTTAATGCCATTTTGTCACACTGACTTCTTGACATTACTCATCTTATGGAATTTATGTTTTTTCAGTGGGCAGCAGCAAGATGTGAGTTTTATTTCACATACCTCCTTCTGCTCACTGCCTGTGATGACTGGCATGGTTTTGTCTGGTGCCTTTGTCAGGGTGAGGTTTGGGAGGCAGGGAAGGGAAGGAGCAGCTCCCTTCCAGATCAACAGGTCAGTTTACAGAAAACACATAGTAGCCAGCAGCTGTTTGAATTACATGAACAAGCAGAACCAAAAATACAGCTTGTGTTGGGCGACTTTAGAGGTCAAATTAATTTCGATCTGAACAATGACTGTGAGAATGAATAGATGAGAGCTGACCTTTTATCCATTATTATAGATGGGTCATGAGATAGTTGGCTCTCGCAATTAAAGGATGAATGTTATGTGTATGCTGTGAGAAGTTTTGTAGATTTTACTGTTGTCAGAGTCCAGGACATCCTTCTGGCTGCCCTGGCTGTCTCGAGACCTTGGCAGGGGTCTCGGAGACCCTGGTGTGAAGTCAAAAATATTTGTGGCTTTGATTTTAACCTGTGGAAAAAGCTGTCAATTTGGCATGAGAAATTACAAATCACAGAGGTTTTATTAATGTGATATTTGAACTAACACAGAGTGGAAAAGTAGAATTTTGGGATTTTTAGAATATAATTCAGGGGGTCAAGATGGAGGAATTTGGGCACATCCTCACCTTCTTTCCCTTCTTCTTGTCCTCCATGTCTTAGTGTAATGGTAGCACTTTTCTGTTAGTTTAAGGTAGAGAGTCACAATCTAACATAAGTAATAAGTATTAGTAATAAATTGTAAACATATGTTGTGGTTTGACACAGAAAAAGAATTTTTCTCGGAAGGAAGAGGTCAATTTGGATATTGACCAATTGAAGGTGGACATGCCTCTGAGAACACAGAGGGGTTAAAAGCAGAATTCCCAGGGGAACTCGCTCTCTTTGGTTCCGGTCAGCGTGCAGTGCAACCTCTCCCCTGCCCAGCCGTGGCTGGGTGGGGGAGGGGAAAAGCCATGCGGCCTTCCGAGGTAGGCCCAAGGGTGGAGGGACTGGAACCGGGCCTGGCCCCCTGCAGATGGAAGGGTGGAGAAATTTGGGATGTCTCCATTCCCACCCCCCCAGAGTCTCTCTCTCTTGAGAGAGAAAGAGACAGCGGCAGCTTGTCAGCAGTTCACTGCGGGGAAGGAGAAGAGTGGGGGGGCTGCAAGGTGCCCAGCTGCCTGTGGGAGTCTGGGCATTGAGCCATCCTGGGAGTCTGGACTTTTAACCCTTCCTGAGAAATGAAAGCTTTGTGAAATTTTTCTCCTCCTCGGTTTGAAAGAGAGGAAGAGAGACAGCCTGGACGCTGGGATGTTAGAAGGAGAAATTCTAGGTGGGAGGAGATGATGGAGTGGCTTTTGGCTGGACTTTTTCTTGGTAGCCAGAGACTGAACCAATCTTCTCCTCCAAGAGAGACTGTATTTTAGGAGGATGCTGGTGAGCCAAGAGACCTGCTTCAGCTGGGAAAAGACAGAAGTGGAGTGAACAGAGAAAAGTTAGGGAGGTTTGTGGTGGTGCCCCCTGTCCTCAGAGAAGAAGAGAAGAAGATGTCTGTTCTTGGACCCTTGGTCCCAGGGAAAAATGGGGGGGACTGCGGTCCCAAAAATGAAAAAAACTGAACTGCTGTTTTTTCCCCTCTTGGCAGGGCCTTGAAAGGAAAAATCCTATAAGCAGTCTGTCCATCCATGCATTGGTGGTGAGAGCACTGTGCATGGAAAGGAGAAGGCTCACC